TACCATCTATGTCTCTATTTCCTTATCTTCATCTATTCTACCTGTCTATCATTCTATCTCTGTAACTTTCTATCTCATAATCATCCACACACACTCTGACATCACACGTACATATATTTACACATGTATATTTCCACCTATCCACATTTAAAATTTTTTATTTGTTCATTTATTATAAGATGTTCTTTTCTGACTATAATAACAAGTAATATTTCATGGCAATCAAAAGTTTTCTTTCCCAATACCATTGTGCTTGAACATGCTATCCTATGTAGCTTTAAGGAATAGCTGTGGAATTTGATGTGTAGAAAAAACTAAAGATCTGTCACTCAGCCAGCTTAGGGTAGAATCCTTTCTTTTTGTAATCTTGGCTAACATGACTACTTCTGAAACCATTTCAATATTTAACACAGTCTGTAATATGTATATCCTAGGAAAGTCATGAAGTCTAAACTGAGCCAGTGAAAAAGGGAAAGTTTCCTTCCTCAAAAGGATCACACTACCGTAAAATTTGTGTCTATGTTGTTTAGCAATATCTACCCTGCTGTGAATGATGGAGTTTACTACAGTTTCCAAGGTACACAATCTTACCCTTGTGGTAGAGCCCAGGGCAAAACCTCCCTGTGAATGGTGGCCAAGCTGTCCTCATGTCCTTCTTCTTCTGTTTTTTTTTTTTTTTTAAGTTGTAGCAACTTTTTTTTTTAATTGAGAAAATACCGTGCAGTGGGGTTACAATTACGAGGGCAATGTAATGAGTGCATTTTGTATCAAGGCCTAAGTTGTAAAGTTCGTTTTTCGACATAACGTCTTGAACATCGCATTGTTGCAATTGGTCAACTGTATCCCTAGTTAAATGATTTGTTTTTTCCCTTCCCCTCCACAAATTATACCAACATCAAATACAGTGAAAACAGGGGTTATACCTTGGGGAAGGGACATACAAAGCAACAAAGAAATCATCTTATACATATGTCAGAAACAATTGCAAGAAAGAAAAAAAACATTGGACTCCTTATCTTGGGATTCATTTTGCCTAACATCAACTTATCTGACCTTTTCTGCTTGTTTCAGACGTGTGCTTCTTATCTGGGGACCAGCAGAACAGTTGTTTAGTTCAGTATTCTGGACCAGCTGTGGATAGAATTCCAGCACGTGCTTAAATAAAAATGCAGTATTTACATATACTCATCCTACTATATATTCAGATATTCTTTCTTATATTCAGATATTCTTGGCAATATTTATAATGCCTACTATAGAGAAGTGTTACAATAATAGGAATTTTACTCCATTGTGTACAGTACAGATGTTTTTTTTTTTCAGTTGTGGGGCTTGAGCTCTGGGCCTGGGTGCTGTCCCTCAGCTGTTCAGCTCAAGGCTAGTGGTCTATCACTTGAGCCACAGCACCACTTCCATTTTCTGAGTGGTTTATTGGAGATAAAAGTCTCCTGTCCTTTCCTGCCCAGGCTGGGTTTCAATTGTGATCCTCAGATCTCAGCTTCCTGAGTCGCTAGGATTACAGGGGTAAGCCATTACCCAGCTACAGTACAGATCTTTAAATACTTTTTCAACATTCCTTAAAAATTAGCATCTACTAGTTGTACAGGAGGTTTTATTTGGGTGGATCCATCACTGCAAGCAGTGGACCTTGACAGACTCTCTCCCTGCATCACTGTCTCTCCTTGCTCCCTTCCCAAATCAATCTCTGTGTCATCTTTCCATTGTCAAACATGCACATAAAGTATCTCCATCATATTTACTCTCATTCAGCGTCTCCATTCACCATCCCCTCTCCCATTTGTAATTACTATTTCTATTACTGTCATTTAAATTCTTAGTGTATGCTAATATTTAAATGGGCTTTAACTTAATATTTTTGCATATATACTACCCCGATGGGATTGCACCTCTCACTTGGCATGTTCCCTAGCCCTACTACCCTATTATTGCAGACTTCAGTGAGCCCCATTTTGGTCTCTTTATCCACAGATGAAGTAGATTTAGATTTTGTTCATCCTTTAATCTTTGTTTTCCATATCTAATCCTCTCCAACAGTCCTACTATTACATGTTTATTACTTATGTTCATATATGATAAACATGTTATATGTCTCCCATATTTCTTTGGGCATTTACATGCACATTTTTCTTTTAGGCATAGCAAGAACCCATGAGAGAACTCATGTGAACCTGGCTTGCTTTGCTTAACATGAAGGCCCCAGATTTACCATTTCTTTTCAAATGACACAATTTCATGTTAAGCCAGGCCAGGTGCTATGGCAAAAGAATTATAAGACTTTCCAAGGCCTCTTGAGTCCCACACAGGTCAGGCACAGATTTCATTGTGGAAATCAGCAATGTCTACCCCTCTGTGGATGCTGAGTGTACTATTATTTCCAAGCTACACAATATCTTATCCCTGCGGTACAGCCCAGGGATAAAAAACCCCTGTGAATGGTGACCAAGCTGTCCCCATGTGCTTCTTGTCTGCGGACCAGCAGAGCAGATGCTCCGAGCCTGTGTGTGAGGACAAGCTTGGGGAACTCACAATATCAAGCTGCAGCTGCTTTCTCTGTCCCACAAGGGCTTTGGCTCTACTCAACCAAGTAGAATAAGCCACCATCAAGAACAGCAGCAGCAACAATAATTTCTTAAATACTGCTCGTGAAAATGAACTTTTTGCTTGTCTAACTTTTGAATCATAATTCTCCTGATCTCCATCTCTAAAGGCTAGGATTAGAGGTCCAAGTCATCCCCATTGGCCACTTACTCATTTTAAACCCCACAAGATTGTCTCCATGTTGTGTGGGCATCCAGTGTTAGTTTACAGTCAACTATTCATTTACACATGAAGGTGCATGTCTTCATATCTTCCATCCTAATTGAGGAAACACAATCTTTCCATCAGCACCACTCATATAACAATGGAAACTGTGATTCTTATTTTATTTTATTTTTGCAAATATTATTTTCTTCTGCCTTGTTTTATTTCTCTTCCACATTGTGGGTCCTCTCCCTTGGACAAGGCACTGATGCTATTTTGATGTGCTTGGGTCCTAAGTCTTGAGAGCATTCCCTGCTGACCTTCCCATCTTGAGTTTTGCCTTCTGTAGTACTCCTGGCCTTCAGGACCTTAGGGTCTGTCATGCATGTCATTCTCTAACATGTTATCCACCATGTATGATGAGGGCACAGACACCTTTTGCAAGCTTGCTTATGCCCTCATGATAGATTGGTAACATGTGATTGAATCGAAGGTGCCAGTCAGTGACGATTCAGAGGACTTGGTGGTAGGCAACCCTTCCCATGGAATGTGCAGTGATGGAAAGTACCATCCAGAAGGGATGTCTTCACTTCTCTTGTCTTTTCTTCCTCCTTGATACTGAGTTTTGATCTCAGGGCCTGCTGCTTGCTAGACACTCTACCACTTGATCCAAACTACCCTCAAGTCCTTTTGTGCTTCGGTTAATTTTTAGGTAAAGTCTTTCATTATTGCTCAATGTTTTGGTAGATCCTCCTACCGGCAGCTTCCTTCATAACTAAACTACAGATGTGTGCCTGCCAGACAGTTTGTTTGCTGATATGGAGTCTTGCTAACCTTTTTCCTGAGCTCTACTTTAACTGCAATCCTCTTAACCTCAGCCTCTAGTATAGCTGGTATTACAGGTATGAACCCACTCTGAGATGCCCTCTGTGAGTTTTCTAGTGATGCAGGCCAGACCTCCAGGGGTGATGGATAGGAAGAGCAGAGTCTGTAGTGTCACATTATCCCCACTGGATCCTGAAATAATGAGAACTGTAAGTTTAAGTGCAAACATTATAAGCCATTTTCATGATTTTCCTTCTGTTACTTTCCCTAAGAAAAGTCATTTGTGTGTGTTTGTGATTTAGTTTCTATTTAAATTTGGAAAAAGAACCAAATTGGCAAGGCACAAAATCCTCTCTAGAAGTCATCTGTACCACTTTCCTCTTTCTGTGAGAAAATATTCATAAGAAAAGAGGTCTTCAACCTTTCTGGAACCTTCCTTTGTATTAGTCTTTTCTATATACTTACAAGTAACAGAGAGAATGTATACATTTTTGTCACAAATGCTATGGGGAGTGTGTTGTATCTGACCATGAATGGGGCTTTGTTAAGTGGAGCTGAGGCCCCGTGGGACAGAGACCTCACCTGCAGTTGTGTGTCTGAGTTGCCCAACCTTGTCCTTGCACACAGACTCAGAGAATCTGCTCTGCTGATCCCCAGGCAAGCAGCACATGGGCACAGCTGGGCTGCGCCATGCAGGGAGGTTTTTGCTCTGGGCTGTAGCACAGTGTTAGGGAGTTTTATACTTTGCTGGCAGTAATAAACTCCTGCATCCTCAGGCTTCACCTTGCTGATTTTCAGTGTGAAATCTGTGCCTGACCCACTGCCACTGAATCTGTCTGAGACTCCAGTAAATCGGTTGGAACCCCTATAGATCAGGAGTTGTGGAGACTGGCCTGGCTTCTGCAGGTACCAATACAAGTATGTGATTCCGTTGCTATGCAGGAGGCTCTCACTGGACTTGCAGGAGATGGAGGCTGGCTCTTCAGGGTTGATGGACAGGGTGAGTGGAGTCTGCGTCATCACAACATCTCCACTAGATCCTAGAAAGAAGAAAGTCAAGTGGGGAGTCACATAAAACTTTTTAGCTGGTTTCATAAGTTTCCTCCATTGTACTAAATTATTATTTGAATTTTGGTTTGAATTGTAAATATTCAATTTCAAAGCAAGAAGTTAAGATTTGCACACAGAGGACTGTCTTTACTATCTCATTCTATAGAACAATTTTCAGCAGCATCTATGTCCAGATGCTCTGAAATCTTGCTCCACATAGCTCTAAGCAGATCCTGCAGTGCGGAAGTATGGGATCCATACACCTCACACATGGAGAGATCACAACAGCAGCAGTGTTGTACTCAGACTCCACCCTCAACGCCATCTCCTCCCTCATTTCCTTCATCTCTCTGTGCCCTTACCAGGGATCCAGAGCATCAGTAGCCCCAGGAGCTGAGCAGGGTACCTCATCTTGAGAAATTAAAATGTGGAGTGCTGAACTTAGCCTGAGAGCTGAGCTTTTATCTTAGACTGAACAAGGAGGCTCCTCCCTAGGGAGCACTATGCAAATTGAATATTGGGTGCAGCAATGTGGTAAGACATAAAGGTCATGGAAGGAGGCATTTTATTTGAGTCAAACAGTTTCTGTAATGAAAAGAAGCTAGCAAAGATAAATCCCCAGCCAGCAAGGATAAATTCAGTGGGCAATAAGAGGCCATGTGGAGCATTTGAATGTTTTTGTTGGGGCAGAAGAAGGAGAGCGTGTGCATATGGATCAACCTCTCTAAGACAGTGAAGAGACTCAGTGCAGTGCAGGTGTTGGGACTGGTGTATTGGAGGGGAGCAGTGCCTGTGTGGTTCCTTCCCAGCTAAGTAGATAAACAACTTTGCCCTCCCAAGTATTGCCTTCAGTTTCCTACCACTGACAGCACAGACTTGAGCTATGCTGATAGTTGCCATGTAGACAAACATGTTAGAAAGATGCTTTTCCTTGGACCTAGTGAATAAAACTCTGTGATGCTCCTGTGAAGAGAACTTGGCAGTGAGGAAAATAAGGATTTCTGTTTCAGCTAAATAGTCAATTTCCCAGTTCAATACAAGAGCAAAGATGTGAAATTATCCTGTAATAGTAAATGCAAGATTTGTGGGAAATAGATTTACAAATTGGCAAACATTCTGTCATATTTATTTCTATATATATCAGATTCATAAAAATATCTCCCTCCAATATTTTGGTAGTACTTGGTTTGAGGGGGTTCAATCTTGCTATGCTGATACTCTACCACTTAATCCAAGCCTTACTTTCTGCTTTTCGCTGCTAGTTTGGAGATGGAGTCTCATATATTTTTCAGGCAGGAAAGACTATGAGACTCTTATCTCCAATTAACCAGGAAAAAGCCAGAAATGGAGGTATAGCTCCATGGGTTCAGTGCCAACCATGAATGAAAAAGCTAAGAGGCATTACCCAGGCCCTGAGTTCAAGCTCCAGTACTGGCACAATAAGTAAAAATAAATAAGAAATATTTTTGTTAGGTACAGTGGCTCCTAATTACACATACACGTGAGATCCAGAGAACTGTGATTTTATACCTGCCTGGGCTGGCTTGCAACCATATTCCTCAAATCTCAGCTTCCTGAGCTGCAAGATTTACAGGTATGAGCCACTGTTGCCTAGTCAGAAATATTTGTTAAGAGAATAACATATTGATTTCATCAGATTTAATGAATACTTATGGCATTTTTTCTCCTCTGAATGAACTTAGAAAAATCCTTCCCATATGCCAGTCCTTTCCATTGTCATGGATATTAGGCAGGTACCAACATGAGTCCCTATTTGAGAAAGAGAATCTTTTTTTTATTTTTAAAAAGGTGGAATGCAGTCCTTTATTGTCTCAGGGCAATTTGAATCAAAGACTGGGCTTCCAAGATGATCCCTGTGGTGACAGTGTTGGGTCAGAGCTGGGAGGACATTAATTCCTGACTTCCTGCCTTTAGACCTTTGAGAGAGCAATTTGTGCTGTGATTTGTAGGAGAAGGAACAATTATGGAGTCTATTATATTTCCTTTTAGTGTGGAAATAATTCTGTGGATGGCTTTATACAGAAGATGCAGGAAATTCTCTAAACATTGTGCAAAGCAGTTATGTTTATAGCTGACATCTGCCCCTAGAATATAGCCATAAAGACAAAATGGACAGACCATGACCTTCTTCACAGTCAGCATGTGGGGGTTCATATGTGTCATGTTAGGTACATGGGTGGTGTAAATAAGAGGATTACAGTTTATGTCAATCCAGGTAAAATGTAAGACCTTATTAAAATAATACTTGGAAATCTTACATCTTCAGAATACTGTTTACAGGGTCAATGTCATGGAAATGCTGAAGATCAAAGTCTCAGGTATTTGATAATCATATTTACTCTTTTAGTTTCTGGAATGAGGTCTAGAATAGGTGAGGTGAGCAGTACATTTTCGTTGCATTCAATGTAGGGTTGTGCTTGATGAATAAGGAAATGTCAGTGGACTCTGTAGAATGGTTCATGACTATTATATCAGCACTCAGGGAGATTGGGAATTTATGAACAGCCTAAGCTACATGGTGAGTTCTGTTAAGAATAATCAAGCAAACAAAACCAACATAAGAAAAGAAAACAAGAATGTCATTGGCCCATGTATTGTGGGTCTACGGTGTTTGAACTATGATATGATTTGAAGTCGTTTTGTTGTGTTTCTGGTTCTGTGTGTAGTTTCTGGATGACAGCTATGCCATCGGCTTGCAGTGAAAACCCTAGAGTCCTTGACATGTATAGCATGGCTTCTGAGAAGTCTGTGACTATAGGTGGAAGCAGGTGGTGGGATGGTGGATCCGAATGATGGGAAGAGCACTAGGAATCAAGTTTGATGAACTAGGCAAATTTTCTGAGTGGAGTTGTTTTATTATATGGAAATGATGGGACGGTCCTTCACAGATTTGATACTCTGAGTTGCTGAAATCAGTTATTGTGCTAAATAACTTATGAAGGGCAAAATATACAAGGTATTTGAAAA